CAAATAAGAGCGGAGCGCGTACTACCCTACTACTACTACTACTACTACTACTAGCAGCATCAGCAGCGATCATCTTTTTTGTATAATAAAGATAGTACTAGTAGAAGAAGTAGTAGCAGTAGTAGCAGAAGAGAAGATTAGAAATAGCACAAACGATACCGTTAGCTAGCGCAAGTGTCAGCGTATGTTTTGCTAGGCATGTGACATGAAGGCCTGTATCAAATCGCCCTCTTCGCATTGCTAATTCCGTGTGTGACAGCCGCGTGTACTTGCCAAGGTGTTCCGGGTGAAGATGATGCGGGAGTTGCGTTTGATGGTGAAAGGTTTGTTGGCCGGTGCTCGGACCTTGTTGTTGGCCTTCATTTTATTATTCACGGTAATATATGTGATTGCGGGCTTCGCCACGATGACGATCGGAAGCGACGAACGCACAGTGGAGATCGGCCTACAGTTCTACTTTGACACTCGTTTTCTTCAGTCATTCCGAATGATTGTTGCAGGCTCTGGCATAGCCACATAGCCAAGCATGCTAAAGTATGCTGTGGTAGTGTGTTGATGTACGGAAGCGCGCAGGCTTATTTTGGGATGGGATAGAAGGGGAGTTGTTGAGCTCAAGCATGTCGACTTGGAGAAATGATGGACAACCTTGTTGTCGCAATTCCAGAGTGTGCAGAGAGGATGCGGGTGAAGAAGAAGAAGAAGAGATAGATGGCATGCACTCAGATGCCAAAGCGCATTTCCTGCAACAAGTAGTCTGTTCAAGCATATGCCGTCGAAGCTTTTCACGCAAAGAGCGTTGCTGGGAATACAGGAGAGCTTTCTCTCAAATCCCATGTTTGCGTGATTTGCGTGGATAATGCTGAAACTGCGGGAACAGGTATGTTTCTTGGCTGTTCTGGGTGACATCACCCCAAATACATTTTTATGTCCTAAGAAAATGGGCAACTCGGCTAAGGACAGCATCCCTGCGTCCATGTTCACGGCGTTCAGGTGCTTTACAGGCAGGATGGCGTGGGAGTCTGCAGACGGGATGCTGAGACGTTGGAGTATGAGGGACACACCTGCATCCGTGGGATGCGAAAGGTGCATAAAAGATCTTAGAAAAGACAGAAGCCATCGCATGCAAATCACCCTCTAAGCTGACATGTTGAACCAGGGATTTTGAAGGCTTTTGAGCTTCTCATATCCACCCCCTGGCTGAGCCATGAAGCCGTAAGCCCGGAGTGCGAAGCCTTCGCTTCTGCAATGGGTTCAGGGTTTGGGGTTTAAGGTTTGGATGATTGGAAAATTTGTTCCTGGCAAGGCGAGTGCAGCAATGCTGACGGCCAGCCTTTGCAACACCTTCTTGCAAAGGAGTTTGGCCACGTCTTCATTCTCTGCTACGTTGCCTGGCTTGGTTTCAACACCATTATGACTTTCTGGTTTGTGGGGATGGTGAACAGAAAATCACATGACTAGTTCCCAAATTCGGGTCCCATTTCAGCATCCCTACATCTAAGGTGCCGTTTTTATGATCTACAACCAAAAGGAGCCAGAAATTTTGAGAACAACCCACATAGCAAAATGCCCTGAGACGAAAAAATGATAAAGGTCGCCAGCTACATGCTTGTGACGATGGGAATCTTCAACGTCATCCTTGCAGTCTATGTGGCTGGGTTCTATAACATTTAAGGTTTAAGGTTTAGGGCTCAAGGTTTAGGGTTTAAGGTTTAGGGTTCAAGGTCTCGGGTTTAAGGTTTAGGGTTTAAGGAGTAGGGTTTAGGGTTTAGGGATTTAAGACTGAGGGCCTGGGATTGAAGCTCAAGAGATGACTCCCCCATACACTGCGGTGCTGCACCATCCTTTCACAGACCTGGCTGCAAACCTCATGGCACACCTTCTTCAGTCTTTTAGTATCTAATTATAAAAGAGAGAGATATGGATATGTACATTGCGACCGCAGGGGGGGAACATTAAAGGCGTCCGTCCCACTTGCCCCACTCGCCCCCCTTGCGCCACTTGCCCCATCTGCCCCACTTGCCCCACTTGCCCGACTTGCCCCACTTGACCCACTTGCCCCAGACCCGCTTGACCCACTTGACCCACTTGCCCCACTTGACCCGCTTGCCCAAGTGGGGCGAGTGGGCAAGTGTGGCTTGGGTTCGGTTTTGGGGCAGGGGAGAAGTGCGGCAAGTGAGGCAAATTGGGGCAAGTGGGTCAAGTGGGGCAAGTGGGGCAAGTGGGTCAAGTGGGGCAAATGGGTCGAGTGGGGCAAGTGGGGCGAGTGGGGCAAGTGGGGCGAGTGGGGCAAGTGGCTGCGGACCCTCCATCCTCCCCAACGCCGACACTCTCGATGTGTATATATATATACACACATATTGTGCGAATATACAATGATAATATATTAGTGTAGTATATTATTAGAATCTACAATGATATATTAATGTGCCATGCGTCGGGAAAAAGGCTCGAATGCAGTGTAGGCTTCGTCTGCTTGAGTCGGGGTTGGTATGAAGGAAACAGAAACTACTAAAAAGTGGCGTGGAGGCTTTAGCCTGGAGTGTTTCGACGATTGCTGGCAGGCTAAGAGACTCTCTGTGCTGAAGATTCGGGGTGGGCCGCTCTATTTAGCTTCATATCATTTTTGAAGTGCGCCAGTCCGAGGCACCACTGTTGAATCTAGCCGTCGGGCTAGTGATAACATCGTACGGGCTGCATTGTCGATACCTCTCCATGGTGCGAAGTATGTACGCTGCCAGAGTACACTAGGAATGTGTCAACTCCTTCCCCTCACAGATGCGCACTGGGGCCACAGCATCTGCTTACCATGACTCCCCAGCTTTAGCAAGTAGCGTGGCAGGTAATTTGTCACGCAGCATGTTGCTGGTATTCTGCACACAGACCCGAAGCTGAAAACCAATTTATGCCGCTTTCAAAAAATGTTGGAAGACAATTCGTTGCCTATTGCTGAGTACAAGGCGTGCATGTCATAGAACCTGGGTTGGCAAAGCAGGTGGACATCATGATGAGGGCGGCAAAGGAGAACGACGCCAAGGGTGCAGAGCAGACCAAACGGGAGTCCATCCGAGTGGCTCGGACCACCCGTGAGCTCATCAAGATCTTCAGCGCTGCATACAATGCCTTTCGCGAGCCTTGGATTTCACTTGTGATGCTCCAGCTAGCACAAAGGTGGACAGTACAACTTCATTTTCTTGACCACTAAATGCCAGCAAAGGACCAAGGCAGCTTAAAGGACGACGACAAGTCCATAAGAACAGTTGCTGCGTCTGACTTCATGGAGGATGGCATGACAGACCAGGCGAGTTTCTGCTCGTTGGGGATAAGGGCCCCGGACGAGCGCAGCAGTTTTTTGGATTCTATAGGTTTCTGATTTCTTTACTGCCATCTTTGCTGCTGGATCCATACGTTGAAATTACGAAAGCCAGCATAGCTGTCTGTTTTTAGCTGTCTCAGCCGCAGGCCTCGCCAGCACGGCTCTTGAGTGTATTGCGTGATCCAATGGAACCACCATCACCCCAGGTCCACGTCTACCTAAACCCCAAAAGTATGTAAAATAATAGCCCTAAACCCAAAATAGTAGCCCAAAAGGCCATTATTCTACATACTTTTGAGATCCAGGTAGCTTTATCCTGACTGTGGATATCGCCATACATAACATCTTCCACCGGCTAAGTCTCTCAATGCAACTGCGAGGATGGGAAATGTGAAGGGCTCTGGCCGCGCGGCCCCCACTTGCCCACCTCCTGTCACATGTATTGTCCATGAGAACTTCACCCCAATATAACCCTAAACCCTAAACCCATTGTAGAAGTTTCCATTTTCTTTTCCATTATCCCTATATAACCCATGAGAACCGTTATGGTACTGGACCCCAGCATTTGCACGATCTGCGATGGGCGATCTGTCGCCAGTGGTCTTCGTTCATCCTGCGGTCATTACCCACTTGACTGATAGTAACAGTACTAGGAAGGGCAATAATGATATAGGGTTAAGGGTTTAGGGTATTAAGCCCGAAAAAAAACCCTAAGACATCATGACAAGCGCCATGGCCTTCCTCGCTTGAGCATCAGCATCATTTGTTAACTCTCCTGTCTCACTATCGTTTATCTTTGTTCAATTGCCCACCGTCATCACGCATCCTCACGGGAACAGCACGGTTGTGCGCTGTGATCATCAAGTAGCATCCATGGTCTTCGTGTGTTAACATTAGCAGTCGTGTCTCATGTTTCACATTGCGCACATCATTCATTGCGGATGAACCACTAGCGCCATCACCTTTGCCCGCGAAAAGGCGTGTTTAGCATTTGGCAGTCCCCATGACGGTCATCAAGATTGTTGCCTCCTCACTTGTCATTCGAATCAAATCTTGCGTCGCCACGCTCTTGATGGTTATCTTTGTCTGCCACGCCACCATTTCTTCATTACCTAGAACCCAGCTTCCCTCTTGTTCTTCACCTTCTCCTTCATTGTGCAAGCAAGCCAGCATGCCTCCCGCCATTCCGCGCGGAGTTTAGCAAATCAGTATCAGTTTTGCATACACCCCATCATCTCCCAGCACTTATCCTGAGCGTCGACTTCTACACCCCGTGCATGTCTTCGGCATCGACAGACTGTCATATGAATTCTCTCGCATCTCGCCTACAATCTTGCTGTGTTGTACTTGTCGAGTCTCAGCATCTACCGTGCACTTGCCAGTTTATCATGGTTGTTTGGAGGATCAGACGTGTACTGGAGGATTCGACATTGACTGCCGCCACTGCCAGCGCCACCGCCAGCGCTGGCGCCGCCGCTCCGCCTACTACTACTACTACTACTACTACTACGACTACGCGGCCGCCGCCGACGATT